AGGCACTGGGGACCCTGGGAAGTTAATGAGTAGAGGAGGGGCTTGACCAGATCTGTTTGACCAGGAGAGCTGTGTGCTGAGCCAGAGCTGGGGATAAAAACAGGAGCTTTTTCTTCCACCTCACACTGAAAGTGTGGTCATGCTCATGGCATAGTGATCAGCATGAAAAACATCTGTGGGAAACTCACAGCTTCCCCATCAGTCTACCTTTAAATAGCACTTTGGTTGGGAGACAGAAAGTGCGGGACTTTTGACTCTTTACCGGCTTTGTTGGAAGAACCTGGATATTAGCAAATCCTTCCGAATTGGTGTGTATCCATTTTGCATGTGACCCTCCCTGCCCAGCCGACTGAAGACAGACATATTAGGAGAAAAATGCTTTGGGTATGTCAGCAAGAATGAAAAACAAAAACCAAACACTAACTTGTTAAGGGAAACTCAGTTTCCCTCTCCATAAAATGGGGATGGGAGAGGGAGCTCCACTCCATCTTCATTGTCAGGATCTGTTACAGTAAAGGAGAGTGTAAGTGCTTCATAGATCTCACAGTGTTGTGTAGAAGTAAGGTGTTATTATACACCAGCAAAAAGTGACCGGATCAGAGAAGAGGCATGCTTGCGCTTACTGAAAAAAAACCCCATCTATCATGTCTAAGAGACTCTGCTTTGTGATTTACATTGATTCACTAATCTCCCTAGCTTTCAGCGAGTGTATCTAGAGTTCCTTCAGTATCTCTGAAAAGTTATTTACCAATTTTAGCTTTTAAGTGGGTATGCAGACACAATATCTGAGTGTCATGTCAATATGGCCACCGTTCAGTAACATGCATGTTGATACAATCCAATGCCAGTTAGTACAGATTCAAATATCATAGGTGACATAGGTATTACAATCCCACTCAACACCCCCCCATTCCCACCTCCCCCCGCCCCCCCCCAGCCTGAACAGATTTGACTGTTTGATTTTAGATCATTGCCAAACCTCTACCTGAGGCTTCATCTATCTACCTCCTACTACCTACCTACCTGCCTATGTCTCCATAAAGAGCTATTTCACTTGCCTCTTGCTTTGTTTAGATAATATCAGGTACCGTGGACATGAAAAGAGACATAAAAGGATGACAAAGGGTCCTCACACTTTAGACTATTGTTATAATTATTGTGTTGTGTCAGTGAAAAATGCTCTGCTAGGTATAATCAGATGTCAAAGGGATCCTGGAAATGTGTACTTGCTTTTTGTTATGAAATTGCGTTTCTATTTATTTCCCCCTTTTCCTTTAAGAAAAAGTGGAGAAGGACATTTGGGAGCACAGGTTGCAACGTGCTGACTCCTGTCGGGTGCCAGAGAAGACTGAAGCGATTTGAACAAGTCAATGGTATTGTGGAAAACAATTAAAAAGGTGGACTCTCGGTGTACGTGCTTCCAGAGAAGCAGTTTGATTGATGCTCTTACCCTGTGCGCCCTCCTCTGCCCCACTAGGCTAAGTGGCTCTAACACAGCCTGAAAGATTTTCTGTGTTTAGGTTCACATGACAGTGGTTGGTTTCTTCTGTGTTTTGACTCCAACCAGGGCATTGAAGCCTTTAGGAATCTTCATTAGGATTTAAGACCTTATTAGTTTTTCAGGAGACGGTGAGAAATGTACTCAAGATTTACTGTTTTAAGGTAAAGGCTTCCAAAGGGTGTTTGTCTCCAACTTTCATTTTAGTTTCACTTACTATGAGAAAACTCTATTTCCATACAGCATTCTGATTGTGAACAGTCGCTCCTTCTGCATTTTCATGGGTAGAACCCTCCGTGATATGTTCCACAGCACTCATTACATAGAGAGTTCTTGGTGGTTTAATGTGCAATATTATTAGAGGGCTCTGCACGTGAGCACTGAATGATAGTTTCATTGACAAACTTTAGGAAGCAGACATCGCTTTCCATTTAGCACTATAAAAACATGTCTCTATACACTAGAAGGTGCTAAGAAAATACAAAGAAATGAAGCGCATAAAATAAAATACATGATAAACAACACGATAGAAGAACGGAATACATAAGCTAAAAAGTTTTGTGGAGGACTGGGTGTGTGTATGGTGGTGTGCTGAATAGGGCTTCAGACGCTGGAGCATACAATAGAACAGGTGGCTGACATAGGCTGCTAAATTTAGGTACTCCCATCTATCAAAGTACAACAGGCACCATCACTGCTTGTTTTAAATATTTGCCCTGTGGACTTGTTTTCTTGGCATAAGGACCACCTCCCATGGGCTTTCTTATATGTAAAGAAATTATATGTAAAAGTGGTTAATCTCCAAGTATGAAATAACATTGCATGTTTCTAAAAATTACGACAGTTTTTGAATGGAAGAAAACTCTTCCCCCAACCATCCTACTCGAGATGGTGAAAATTCCTGTTTTATTTTAACAAACCCAAACAGACACTAAACGTGTTTTCAGACACTAAGCATGTTTTCAGGTAGGAAGACTATTTTGCTGGAAAAGGCATTTTACTGGGAAAGAGATAGCCTGAAAAAGTCTGATGTGTAGGAAACCCTGTTGTTTATCTTGTGTGTGTCTGTGTGTGTGTGTCGTGAGCACAAGGTAAAACCTATGACATACAAAATTAAATGTCATAGGGAAAATGTAATAAGCAGGCATCTCGAATGTTAGGTGCACTTTATTATACAGTGTAAACGGCTCTATAATGCAGTAATGACAGGACACTTCGGCGCTCCGAATGAATAGGGATGAGAGTAAATAGTTTTAGCTATTTGTGCACGTTGAAAAGTTTTGCCCTGTTTCATTTTTGGTAAATCTTATTTGTTGTTGATATTGAAACTTTTTCAGATTAGCAAAAGTTTATGCACGTGATGTTTCACTACGACATCAGAAAATTTTTAATAAGTACGTTCTATTTTGGGAAGTTTCTTCTGAGATCATAGTTCCTTAGCAAGCATGAAGATGGTATCAGCCATTCAATAAACACTTTTCATACACAACCGTGTGCCAGAAGTCTCTGTATGAGAGAAAGGTGGGTTACAAGAGCAACCACCACAATGCAACACACAAGAAAAGCCTTCTTGTTGAAGTAGCTTTAACTGCTCTTTTAAAAATAAAAGCTTAAATATTTGCACCTGCATTCTTAAAAAGCTAAATAGATACTTATTTGGAAACTGTAGAAAATCTACATGGAGAAAACCAGTACGGATAGCTTGGCATTTCCTTCCAGGCCTTCCTCTGAAAGTTTCTGTGACTCCTCTCTCTCCTTCAATGCACACACACAAACGTATGCAATTGGAATCATACTGTTTATAGTCTTAGGTCCTGCTTTTTCCACTTAACATACCATGAGCATTTTTCCATGTCATTAAATATGCTTTGAATATGTTCTTGGCCACATAAAATTCCATCCTAGTGATGCACCTGTTTTCTTTTAAGCTAAGACACATGCTATGTTTTCCAGTCATGCTGAACTCCTAAAAGCTAAGGAAAATACTTTATATTGATCCACCATCAGGCCCTTATGAATTTGTTTTCGTCTCTTTATAAGATGCACCCACACTTCTGGACACTGCATATAACGGAGAGTTAATCAGCAGTCTGAAGATACGAGGCAGCTTGCCTCCTTGGGTCAACCTGCATCACCATTACAGATGTACAGAGTGTCAACAAGTGTCACCAAAAGCCTTTCTGTCTGGTGACTGCCACAAATGTAGTTCAAACTCTGGCGTACCCGCCTCAGAAAAGCATCAGTGCCCTTTTAAAGTTGAGTAATTTCGGAAATAGGCTCCAAGCTTACAAAACCACCACTTTAAAGTTTTACTTTACACTTAGCTTTGCGAGAGTACATTTTAATTAACTCGTATTTCAGTCTGCTGAATCTAGAGAAGACTGATGGAGTGTTAAATCTGCCAGAAAATTCGGTCCTAACCTCTTTTAGGACTCCAACTAGAATGTATCTGTAACACACACTAAGCATAAATGAACCCTTTAATCCTCAGGAGGGCACTGTGGAACTACATTCTTAGGGTTTCTCTGCTGTAGGAAGGTTTCTTTTGTTCCTCAAATTGTTCCAAGTGCAAGGCCAGGCCTCAGATTTTTATATTTTCATTTAATTTTAAAGAGAAACCATAAGGACCTTTTAAAATATGAAACTGGAATGTGTGTATTTTATGAATACTTTTCTATTAGACTGAGCATATTGTAGAATGACTGAGTGGGTTTATACCTGGAAATTCATATTCAGGTGAGGAAATTGCATTCATGTACTTTTCCGTACATTTGGAAAGAGCCACCCTGAACCAGGTCTAACTCTCTGATCTCCAACAGTCAGCTTCCACAGCCTTAGACTTTCATAGTCCTTACTGTAAAACTAGCCTTAAAAATGTCTTCTTTTAAGATCTGTGGAGGTCAAGTTTGGCCTTTTCACATGCCCTCCCGACTGTGTTTAAACTGAAATTCCTGCAACATGCTTTTCCAGGGGAAAAACAAAACAAAAACAGTGTTCAGATAAAATATTATAGGTTTATTTAAAACTTAATTCTCACCTTGAGTATGCAAAATACAAACTCCACAAAATGTTCATTTTTTTACTTTGTAGTTTACAAATATACAAAATAGAAGTTTGCTTAAATTTATATTACATATTTATTAAGGCAAGGAACTATATAGAAAAAAACATTTGTTCTGCTTAAGGCATACTTGGGAATAAACCATTGTACAAATTATTGCACATCTGAAACCACAGTGCATAACAGACTGTCTGCATAAAAATGTTAAAGTAAACCAGGTGTATTTACCTGACTTAGGTCATAAGTGTAGATCGGAAGACAAAAATAGATTTTCCTTGTCAAAGTATGCAGCAGTTTGAGAACTTTGGCTTCCTCATTTGGTACCTTTAGAACCAAGACTCACCAAGCACCATCGTTTAGGTTATTAAAACACATTTTCTGTACCTGAATTTCTTCCTCTTCTTATAATAATGGCTTTTAGAAGGCAAAGAGAATACAAGGTGATCTTTATACTTATATTGCATCGAAACAATTCAAGGGAATTCTGGTCTTCCCTCCCCCCCAACTCATGGATCTAATTTATACCCTGATATCCACACCTTCCAGTCACCCCCTTGGCGTTTTGTAAGTCCAGGAATATTCAAGTTGGATTGAGAATTGGAATGATAGAAGATCCAGTCACAGACCCCATCTGTTCTTTGATTTGTCTTCTGGTTTCCTTGTGTCTGGTTTCCTTGTGTCTCCTGATTATCCATTCACAAGTTGGCTTGTTGGGAACTTGACCATGATTGTAGTGCTTTCCAGCTGGGTTCCTCCCCTCCCGGGGAAGACAGTATGAAAGGTAAAAAATACTGAATTCTCTTCTTGGCAGTGTGGGTCATATCCACTGTCTCGGGAGTTAAAAGTGCCTCTTCATGTGTAAGGCGAGGTGGTCCGACCTGGAGAAGGCCCGGTCGCACTTCTGGCACTGAAAGGGGCGGTGCCCGGTGTGTTTCCGGTAATGCCTGGTCAGTTCGTCAGAGCGGGCAAATTTCCACCCGCAGCCATCCCAGTCACAGTGGTAAGGCTTCTCACCTGCCGGAGGAAAAAAAAACCCGTTGAAGCCATTGCTACATGATGCAGAATTCGCCACTTTAAAAACTGGAGGCCCAATATTAAATTTCAGATCATAAATAGGAATACTAAGCTTCTTCAGGTATTCCTTTTGTTTTTTTGGGGGGTGGGGGAGGAACAAACATTTAAGTAATGAGAACACACACATACAGCCTAAACCTATACTTCTATATTGCTAATGTTTTCATTTTTGAGTCAAAGTACCATAGTGATACAAGTGATTTTGGAAATGAAGCCTGGTTTGTCTCCCCGACCCAAGCGAAGCAATTAATATCCTCTCCCACACTACACTTTTTCTGCTTCTGCATGTTACTTTTTAAAAAGTTTTTTAAAATTTAATTTAACATATAGCGTGCATTTGTTATTTTAATGACTACACCTAATTGACCTTATGTACCTGTACTTAAGTGACATGGAAATTCCCTGCAGGGACCATCTTAGACCACACACAATCTTAGCAATCACAACCACTGAATTCTTGAAATTTAAATAGAACTTACTTATGAAGAGTAGAACTAAAAATAGCAAAAGCGTGAAATGTGGGAAGGGAACAACTGGGTGAAAATCATCTAAAAAATTAAAAACTAATAAGACCTATCATATTTTTGCACGGCAAGTGTCTTTTCTTAGTTTATTTTTGAGACAATGCGAGTGGATAGTATCAGGGAGAGGAGACAGAACCCCAAGCAGGCTCCAAGCTGAGCTGACAGCACAGAGCCCAACGCAGGGCTCAAACCCACAAATGGGGAGATCATGACCTGAAGTCGGATGCTTAACTGACTGAGCCACCCAGGCGCCCTGATAATTTAGGGTGTTGTTTCTTTTAATCTCTACACTCAACGTGGGGCCTGAACCCACAACCTCAAGATCAAGAGTTTCAGGCACCAGTGACTGAGCCGGTCAGGCACCCCCAAAGTGTAATTTCCTGATTACAAGGGCAATGCTTTGCTCAGACTTGGAGGCCCACCTGCAGCCTGGAACCTCCCTCCTGCCTTTCAAAAGCCTAAAAAGAACTGCACATTCAAGCGCTGATGCTATCCACCAAGCAAAAGGCTCTTGGGCAAAAAAGGAGGCGCCGGTTTGCTGTTCTCTCCTGTGATCCAAGAGATGGAGGAGATAGACTGTGCCTCACATCCCAAGGGAGGCCCTGAGAAGGGTCCGGTTAGCCAGCGGGGCTGGATCCCACCCTCCCTTCCAGCAGCTCCTCCTCCTACCTGTGTGGGTTCGCAGGTGTGCCTTGAGATGAGAACTCTTTGTGTAGGTTTTGCCACAGCCCGCATAATCACAAGTATGAGTGGCTGTCCTTTTCCGCGGCCACGACCTTCTCCCCCTCTTTGGTTTCTGCTCCTCCGGCATGCAGGAACCAGGTGGCATGAGCTCTAGGGGTGAAGAAGGTGGGGTCAGCATCATCCACTGAGCCCTGGAGGGCCGGCATTCGCAGGGCTCCCCAGCCCGAACTATGAATCCCCGGGACTGACCTTGGTAATGGAGCGGCGGGACCTGTGGCTGCATCTGGTCCGGCAAGAAGGGTGGGTAGTTGGGCCCCGGGTGGGGATGGAAGCCGGGGGGGAGCGGTAGGGCAGGATGACAGTCCCTGCTGCTCATCAGTTCCTCGGCACCCAGGGTCGGGGTAGTCCTGCTGGGGAGCTGCCGCCCCAGGGGGAAGTCGTGCGCCGGTGGCCGGTGGCCATTGCTGAGAGGGGGTCCGGTGCCCAAGTGGGCCTCTAGCGGCCGACCGACGGTGCAGGACGAGACTGCCTCCTGCTTGATCTTGGGGCACATGCGCGGGGGCCCGCCGCTGTAGGGCGCCACCACGACCGGGTGGCTGCCGTCCGGACTGCCTTTGCTAACACTGATGACCGACGGGCTGCCGTACTCGCTGCCGGGGGCACTCAGCGACGACTTCAACACAAACTTGCCCATCAGCCCGCCCCCTGGCGGCGGAGGCTGCTGCGGCGGAATATACACCGGGTCCAACTCGGGCCGCAGGAGCTCAGCCACGAAGCCGCCCGAGGGGCTCACGTCGTTGATGTCCGCCAGGTTGAAGGGAGCTGTGGGAGGAGGCACCGACTCCCGGCCGTAGAGGAGGCCGCCGCCCGTGCCGCCTGGCGCCACGCCCGGGTCGCCGCCGGCCCGGATCGGATAGCTGAAGCTGCAGGTGGAGGGCGCGCTGGCAGCACCGCTGCTCGACGGCGAGGACGAGGAGGAGGCTGACGCAGAGGAGGACACGGTGGCGGCCACAGACTCCTGATGGGACAGGGAGTTGGAGAGGATAAAGTCCAGGTCCAGGAGATCGTTGAACTCCTCCGTCTCCCTCCGGGGTAGGAGCGCTGGGTTGTTGCCGCCGCACGCCGCGCCGACTCCGCCACTTTCCAGGTCGGTGGCCACGGTCGCCGCCGCCAGGTCGTAGGGGCGGCCGGGAAGCACAGGGGGAAGACGCTTCATGTGGGAGAGCTCCTCCCGCCAGCGCTGCAGGAACGGGAGGGGAGAGATCGTCGGTCGGCGTTGGTGCCCTGCTGCTACACTAGACACCGGCGGGCCGGCCACGCGATTCTGCCCGGGCACCGGGACTGGGCAGGCACGAAGCGCCCGGGGCCTCCGGGTGCCAGCGCTGCAATCTCGGCCCACCCCCGGGCCGGAGGAGAGGCGGTGCGTCGGTCTGGAGGATGTTATGTCGTGTCTGCCCGATTGCGTGTGAGCAAGCGCCGCGGCTCGGCAGCTCGGGTCCTGCCCCAGCCAGATCCCGGGGACGCTCCCGCCAACCCTGGAATTGGGACACTGAGGATATCCCTGGGCGCCCTCGCCACGGGTACGCCTACGCGCCCAGCTCTCTGGGGCCTAGCCAGTGTCTAGGGACACAGCCACCTCCCGGCCGGTGGCCCTCGCGCCAGCTCTGCCGCCTGCGCGCTAGGGGACGTATGCGGACCGGGGGTGCGCCCCCGGCGGCTCCGCAGTGCCGGGACCGCACGCGTGTACAACTGAGCCAAGGGGCGCTGAAGCCGTCCTAGGAAGACTGCGGGACCGGCGGGGTGGCCTCTCCTTCCCTTCGCCGGGGGCTTCTCGGTGACCCGTGCGCTCCACGCGTCCCCACCCTACCCACAGAAGCCCACCGGACGACCCCGACCTTCCGGGTTAACACTCACGTTATTCGGGGCACCTGCTGGACGCAGTGTCTTCTCCCTTCCCGCCGGGCCGGACGCGAACGTGGAGAAGGACGGGAGCAGCGCGTCGCTGACAGCCATGTCAGACTCGCCAGGTGGCTGCCTGCGGGCCGGGTGGGGCGCAGAGGCAGGAGTCAGGGGGCCGCGCGCGACCGCCGCTCCGGCGCTTCCCACCCGCTTCCGGCCTTCCCCCTCCCTGCGCCCCGCGCTGCACCTACCTCATTAATGTGGGGGCCCAGAAGGTCCTCGGGAGTCCGAAGCCGTGGGGGTACCCTAGCCCCGAAGTCGACGAAGAGGGAGAAAAAAAAGACTTAGAAACGAAGCCAAAACCAAAAACCCCAAATTGCCCGAGATCCTTCTTCTTTGGATTAAATATAAACGGGAGATGCCTTTTTAAAAAAGTTCCTTTGTATACAAAAGTTCTTAGAGAAGTTGTAAACTCGTAAAAAAATAGACAATCAGCAAGGCGAGTGAGTCAGTCCGGTGGCCGCGCTGCGCTCTCTTCGATTCAGCAGTGTCCTCCACCACTGTCGCAGTCGCCGCGGCTGTTGCCGTGGGCGCTGGGGCTGCGGCCGGAGTGGCGGGCGGGCGGCGCCGCCAGGTGAGACTGGCCGCGGAGGCGCGGATCTGCGGACTGGGCGGCGGCGCGGGGCGCGGAGTCCAGGGGGCTGCGCGGGGCGCGCGCGGCCATGGGCGCTGGCCGCGGGCGGGTGGATGGGTGGGGGGCCGGAGGGGCGGGGAGGGGCACTTGGCGGCTCCCGGTGCCGCCGCCGCCCGCCACCGCCTCTGCTCCCCGCGCGCCCACAGCCGCGCTCGCTGTCTCGGGCCGGGGAACTGCCGGCGGCCGCCGCGCGCTCCTTACTTAACTTCTCGGCTCCCGCCCTACCCCGCCTCCCTCCGCACCCCGCCTCCTCCCCGCCGTACGCCACAGCCGGCCGGCAGGCCCCGCCCCCTCCCTTTCTTCTCCCCTCCCTCCTGCGGCCCCCCCCGCGCGTTGCCATGGCAGCTAAATAAACAAACTCGGCGCACGTGGGGGCGGGGGTGAGGGAGGGGCGCGGGCGGGGCCCGGCGGAGCAGTGACGCCAGCTCGGCAGCTGGCGGGCAGGAGCCGCGCTGACGCCGGCGGCGGCGGCGGCGACGGCGGCGGCGGCTGCCCGGGCGCGGGCGCTCAGTACCGGGCAGCCGGCGGCGGCGGCGGCGACGGCGGCGGCGGCTGCCCGGGCGCGGGCGCTCAGTACCGGGCAGCCGGCGGCGGCGGCGGCGACGGCGGCGGCGGCTGCCCGGGCGCGGGCGCTCAGTACCGGGCGCAAGTCCGGTCGCCGCGCGCCGGGGGCAGTCGGCGTCGCCGTGGTCTGCTCCCCGAGTTCGAAGCTCGTGGCTTAGGAGTCTGGTAGGGGCTAAGGGGTCGGTACAGCGCCCCCCACCCCCGCTCTGGTCAGCGCTCGCTGCGCACTCTGCGCGCTAGCGAGCAGCGCGATTATCCGCGTGACTCATCCAGCGCTCCGTCCCTTCCCTGCGCACGCAGCCGTCGGGCGCTGGTCTCGGGGCTCACGGCCAGCTCTCGCGGGGCTCTTCGCGGGCTCTCCTGCCTGGCGGGGTGGGAGGCGAGGCGGGAGGTGGGTACCCAGAACTATGGTGGGCCTCGGAGCCTCAGAAGGCCGGAGGTGTGTTCCTCGCCTGGAAAAGGGCGGCAAAGAGGCCGCAGCGGGAAGTGGGAGGTAGGGTTTTGACATTTCAGGGAGCCAGAAAGGGAGTGAAAGGGCTCAAGACTTTGTGGGGTGGAGGAGGGCAGAGGGCCTGTGAAGCGAGGAGACACCTTTCAACCAGGGAATCTCAAAGCACTTTACAAGCCACGCACCCTCCTTTCCACTTTATGGATGAGCAAACTGAGTCATAAAGAGGTGAAATGGCGAGGTAAAGGTCATACGGCAGCTCGCTCCCTTGGCTCAGGCTCTGAGCGGCCGAGCCCACCGAAGGGGACTTAGCTGAGAAAGTGGACACGTGCCAGGAAGTGGAGCGGTGCGGTGGGACCCCGGTTCCCGAAAAGGGCACCGGGAGCTCGCGGCAGCCGTTCCTGCCCACCGGGAAGAGAAGAGGAAACGGCGATCGTTATTTCAGCCTTATAACTTTGCCTTCCCACCCCCACACTCCCCTAAGTTTGTGATCAGTAATTTTCCAGCCGGGAAATGTTTTCGCCCTCATCTCTGCAAACAGTGGCTTTTTTTTTTTTTTTTTTTTTTTAACCCAAACGTGAGTGTGGTGCTCGGTATCGCCTGCTAAACGTCGGCTTGCGAGGTGTTTGGTTTGGATTAAGGCGCGCAGAGCCGGGCTCCACCCGCCCTCTCCACGGAGCCTCCTCACCAGTCAACGCTGTCGCTCCCAGGAAAGACAAGGGGTGGAGGAGGGCTGGGAAAAGGGTCGAAGCCCCAGAACAGGGAAGAGTGTGCGCTCCCCCTCCCCCTCCCCGGGCTCTAGTTGCCTCATATTTTAAGTCGTTGTCACCTGTTTGTTTGAGTTCTGCGATGCTGGTACCTATTAGGTTTCCTCAGAATATTTGTTATCCCTGATTTTTCCACTTATTGCTGACCACAGAAGCATTCTTGGAATGCATCTCATCCCGAATGAATCCACTCGGCCCTGTCTGCCAACGACAGGAATCCCTTTAGGTCCGGTGAAGTGGACGCATTTGAAGATGACTTCCTCCTTTGGCCAACTCCTGCAGCTGGGGAGAAGGGCATACTTTGGCAGGGAAACCCCGACCCTCCCGTGGCTTGGAAGGGTTCAACTTCACCCCATAGGAGCCAGCCAGTTACTTTAACTCTGAAAATATTGCTCTTTTCAAAGGGAGGAACCAAGAAAGGAAGACACCTGCTACCCCTCCCTCCACTCCTTTCATTGTGATGGCAAAAGTATCTTGGAATGCTAGAACTCCAGGATTGAATGGAAAAGTTACCCGCCTTCCTATCAAGTCCTAGGTTTCTAAACCCCAACGAACTTGGATGAGCCCCTGATTGGCAGCCATTAACCCTAGGCGTGTAAACATGTACACCAAGGACTTGGGATTTCTAACTTAGGTAGCCAGTGCAGGAAGTTTTTTCTGCTTTGCTCTTATTTATCTAAAGCAGGAACCTTTCCCCTTCAACAAGAGTAACTACCATAATGAAAAAACAGTATTACACAGGTGAATTGGAAAGATAATATTATTATATAATCGAGCCAGGATTCTGAAACTCAGTTCAAAAAGATGAACTTGTGGGGCACCTGGGTGGCTCGGTTAAGTGTCTGACTTCAGCTCAGGTCATGATCTCCAGTCTGTGAGTTCAAGCCCTGCATTTGGCTCTGTGCTGACAGCTCAGAGCCTGGAGCCTGCTTTGAATTCTGTGTGTGTGTCTCTCTCTCTGTCCCTCCCTTGCTCTCTCTCTCTCAAAAATAAATAAACATTAAAAATTTTTTTTTTTAAAAAGATGAATTTGTAGTTTCCAAGCAGCCTTCAGGAGGGGAAAAACCAGTGCCTCTGTGACAGGCAACTATTTGGTTATTCCTCTGGTTGCATCATAAAGGGAAATCTCTATATTTGCTGCAGATTTCTAAAAGTGGTAAGGAACTTCAAGTTTACAAATCATCTCCTTTCAAGACAGGTGCCTGGTGTGACAACAGGGTTATGACCCTCCCTCTTTTCAGAACAGGTAGGTCCAGAAGAGTTAAATCCCTGCCCTGTATAATTTATAAACATGAGGCTGAGTAAACCTTTGATGACTAAATTGCACTCTAAAATAATAATAATAGAAGACACCCTTTAAAGAAGAATTACATACTTACTGGTGACTTTATTTCAGCAAACTGATATTACAAGTTTTGTGGTATGGAAGTTAATTATTAATGTCCTTGGAGTTATAAAATGGATTTTTTTTCCTGCATTCGTTGGCAGAAGATGTTCTGGAAACCATCGGCGTTGGGGGCTTGAGGACATGGAGCCTTGCAGGGGTTCATAGATTGAAGAGGCTCAGCATGTTTCAGATTAAGGACTCTGCGCCCAGAACTGAACACCAGGTCTGGGCAAATAGAGTTCCCCAGGGAGCCTGACTGCACCCTGGCCCAGGGTGTCCGTACAACTGCACAAAACTCGGGAAAGGCTGCTTTTCCCGAAAGAGAAAGCAAGAGCTGATTTTAAGTATCCAAACTGCTTTGCAATGAAATCTGTACTGAGAACTGAGCACAGGGGCTTAGAGGCTTTGCGGGGTCGCAAAGGTTTTCATAGCCGCCACTTTCATCCTGGAAACTCCAGCCTGATTTTCACCTCAGTTGTGCGTAGAGGTTAAGAAAGTGGGCTTTTGCATTCAGTTTCCTGAGCTTGTGTTCTGACACGGCTGCTTTTAGCTGAGCAGGTTAGCTGGCCTCACTTTGCCTGTTTCTTCTTTAAAATGGGGATAGTCATGGTACCTACCTGTTATGTTATTGAGGATTACAAATGGGATTATCCAGATAAGGTATTTATCATAGGCCTTGGCATTATGCACGGTGTGTCTTACCATCACCAGCACTTTCCAGGGCGCCGCAGGCTTCATGAGGACAGGAGCTGTTGCCTTGCTCACTGCCATACCCCCCAAGTCCCAATACATAGTAGTGCTCTGTGTTTGTTGAATAAATGAATAATGTACTTCAGCAGGAAGCTGCTCTTTCCTTTCAGCTCTCCATTGGAGGCACATTAGTCCCATTTTTTGTCAAGAGTTTCAATGCATCCAGGGTCTTACCCTAATTTTTCCTCCCATGTTTAATCATTCTTACCCAGCTTCCCAAGATAGAAACCTAGATTCCCCTCAATTCTTCCCTTATTTTCTTGGGCCTGGACGTTTAGGCATCCACAGAGCTCACCCACTTCCATTCCTACGTGTCTCCGCTACTTCTGACCGAGTTGAGCTGCCTGGGCTCATTCTCATTTCTAGCTTTTAATTATTGCTGTGGCTTCCAAACTGTTGTCCACCTCCTCCTCTGTCTCCGCCGCCTCCCCCATAGACCCGCTGGAATTTCCCTGCTAGACTGAGTCCATTTTGCTCACAAATCACTTCGCAGCCTCATATACCACACTCTTCTACTATGGCCCTTGAACACTTGGCAGGACCATCTCTAGAGGCTGACCCCACCCTCCGTAACCTTTAACTGGATGTTCTCTCTAGTCCAAGTACATGATGTGTGTGGTTCCCCGCACCCACTCACACACACACACACCCGTTGGCCATTTTGCTATCTGAAATACTTTTCCTCCCCTCAGAGCGCTGGTCATCCTCAAACTTCAGAGCCCCATGGTCTATTAGTCCTCTCCCTCTAGGCCATGGTCTTCTTCCCTCTGAGCTGCAATAAAGCTGCGTGGTGACTCTGCTATGACATCGTCCCAGTGGACTCCGTGATCTGGTTACTTGTTTGTGGCTCTTGTTCTGCTGTGGCATCCTTTAGGACCAGTGCCCAGTGAGGATGCATTTTAGGAAGGAGGGGGCAAAGCTGCCTTGGTAAGGCGATTCATCAGGAAGCCCCTGCTCTTTCCTATCTTGTCAATAACCTTCCTCTCTGCTTCAGAGACCGCTGGCTCGGTTCTGTTTTCCAGTCCCTCTCTTCCCTCCACCGCTTCTTTTCTTTCATTGAAAAGTGCCAAGGGGGCGTCTGGGTGGCTCAGTCGGTCA